AATCCTAATTATCTCGTACATTTCTATAACTTTAAATGTTTTATTTAAACGTGTACTGAGGCCGAGAGTACTTCGTCACACAAACAAAGGACAATGGGTATTGTGACCACACACTATTTAATACTAGATGTATTAAACAGCTAAGATTGGTTTGGTTTGTTATGAATTTCGCGCAAAAGCTACACGAGGGCTATCTGCGCTAGCCGTCCCTAATTTAGCAGTGTAAGACTAGAGGGAAGGCAGCTAGTCATCACCACCCACCGCCAACTCTTGGGCTACTCTTTTACCAACGAAAATTTGCTAAGATCAGACGTGTCTCAATGATTAGGGTACTAAACTTGCATCTTTTTTTTGGGGGGGGGGGATATTTTTATAATAATTACACAGGCCTGCGTATTTAAACTTCATAAAAGTTGTTTTGGGTTTAATAACGGATTTTCCATAATTGAGCTACGCAGATTTCGAAAACAATATTATTATTTTTTCTATCACGTAAGGATTTTTTACAAACGTGGAAGAAAAAATACTCTTACTTAGATCAAATTACCACAATGGACATTTTTTTATTATTATGTTTGTTAACAGACATACAAACAAACTGAAGAAAAGGGATGAACATTGATGTCAAACGAATATGCATCCTCATTCATCCTGATTATTTTAAATGAAATCTACGTCTTTTAGTCTCAAAACTACGTATTGTGGTCTTTCTTTTATGTCTTGCGTTAGGACGTTTTGTGAAAAATCTGTACGTGATGGCGAAAAATGGATGTCATTTTCGGATTCGGCGTACAGGAATTACTGTGGAACATGTAAAGATTTCAAGACAATAAAACCATCGCAGACCTGTGTTATTAAACGATAAAAAAAACAAACAATAAACCTTTATATCATTTTATATTCAAACTTCTTGAACCTACGGTCCCCTGGTGGGAAAGCGGTGATTTACAACGCTAGAATCAGGAGTCCGAGTTCCTCCGATGTGGCTTTGCTATGAGAAAACATACATACAAACTTGAACCTACGGTCTCCTGGTGGGAAAGCGGTGATTTCCAACGCAAGAATCAGGAGTCCGAGTTCCCCTCGGTGGACACAGCAGATAGCCCGATGTGGCTTTGCTATGAGAAAACATACATACAAACTTGAACCTACGCGTTTTTCTGACATCATGAATATATTATCATTATATCTAATGATTTTGTTATTAATTTTAGTTTAAAAATGTAAAAAACATTTTCAACTGGACTTTTGCTATCGGTGACCGGCCCATGGCGGGTATCGAAACACGATTTTTGGCATTATAAGCCCTCGGATATAGCACTGAATCAATGGAGGGCAATATGACGTTAGAAATGACGCAACCATTTTTATGATGAATGTTTAATAACCCAATGAATGTAACGTTAACATTATCTAAAAACCTGTTTTCATTTGTAATTTCTGAAACTATATTCGCATCTTTGCTATCTTCCAATTTCACCAGACCTCCTCCCCTAGTGGGTCAGCGGTATGTCTACAGACTTACAACGTTAAAATTCGGGTTTCCAATCTCCCACGGTGGACAGAGAGCAGATAGCCCATTGTGTAGCTTTGCGCTAAAACAAGCTTTAAGCTTAATTTCTGTTCCCCCCCCCCAGTGGCACAGCGGTATGTCTGCGGACTTACAACGTTAAAATTCGGGTTTCGATACCCGTGGTGGGCAGAGCGCAGATAGCCCATTGTGTAGCTTTCTGCTTAATTACAAACAAACTTAATTTCTGCCTTACGTATTGTTGCGCCATCTCGTGAAAACTTGAACATTTAGAAAGTTTTCTGCGTTATTATTTCATTATCTACCTGGGTGTAGCTAGCCGAAGTTTAAAAATCTCTGGTGCAATAAAACGCTTAGTTGATAGAGGGGTAAGCAAACGAAGAAGTTCGACATGGTAAAGACCCCCGCCCTCCACTCACAAATATAATCGGTTTTCACCGATTACTTAACTTATGAAATATTGAATTCAATGCAGAAAATATTACGAAAGTTTTGTTGTTTGTTTTTTTTTTTGAAGTAATGTGGATATAAAACTAAACTGTTACTCGGAAAGTTGTCATTTAAAACCGTGTTAAACTAACAGCCTATTGCACATTTGTTGATTTATTTGTTTTATGCCTAGATTTTAATGTTCATGGACCAAATAAAAAGAAAACTCGTAGTTATAGGGAACAAATAACAATGCAAGAACACTTGATGAATATTAAATACTGACGTACATGCATTTTTTTTCTTCTCAAATTACGAATTCTGATATTTCCCCCTACTTCTGTTTTAGAACTCAATCCGTCCCGAGTTAGATAACAGCGCCATCTATTGAGTTTTATATCTAGAATCTTATTTAAGAGTTAGATAACAACGCCATCTATTGAGTTTTACATCTAAAATCTTATTTAAGAACATATATTTTCTTTGTATTTATTGATCAAATGTGTAATTAGCTGGCTCGTGGCAGTGCTCATGGTTACTAAACAAAACTATTAACAATACCTCTCCTCCCATGCACGTGTTTCTTTCTTTTTAATTATTATAATTAAGCATCTCTCGGCAAAAATTAAATTGAGACCAGTGCTGCGTACATGTTATCTTGAATGTTTGTTTAAAATGCCATTATTGACTAGTTATGACGGAGGTAAAAGTTAGAAATAGGTATTAAGTTATTTTGTATTTTAAACTTGTACCGCACGTGATGTGACACATTTTTCTCTCTCTAATTTAAAGCTGTTGACCAGAGCACCACCTGTCAACTGTACGATTACTCTTACTGCCCTGGTTATAACATCCCCGGAGCCAAAGGTGTGAAGCATGATCATGGGATACTGCAGGCTCAAACCTTGGACCTTCCAACCGTTATCTTAGTAATGTCTAAGAATTGACGTAAATTACTAGTATTTTGCTTTAGACGTCGAAAATAGAATCTGTAGAATTCCAAAGCGTTTTTCTCTGGCCCTCTTTTTAAGCAAATGAAAAAGGTTGTTAGTCGTAAATGCAGTAATCCTTTTTA